GGCGGGTCGACGGAGGCGCCGCTGAGCCTGCGCGTCGCGCCGACGTCCCTCGCCGGCGACGCGCTCGCGAACCTGACGACGGGCCTCCTCGACGATGCCTTTGCGCTCGGGTCCTCCGAGGGCATCTGCCAGACCGTCGTAGCCGCGTCGACGGCGGACGGCGACGCCGCGCTCACGGCGACGATGATCGACGCCGTCGGCGCCGTCGCGCGGGGCCTCGACGCGGACGCGTCGCTCGTCGAGCAGACGAGCTCCGCGCTCCTGTCCGTCGCGTCCAACGGCAGCGGCCTCGCCGCGGCCGCGGCGTCGTCCGCGCTCGACTCCTGCGAGGGCCTCGCGGCCGCGTCGGGCGGCGACACGGGCATCACGGCCGTCGCGGCCGCGGGCCTCGGCGACACGCTGTCGAGCCTCCTCGACAGCCCCCTCTTCGCGGCGGGCAACGGGTCGTCGAACGCGTCCGCGGGCGCGTCGCTCGGGTCCTCGGTCGACGGCATCCTCGCCGCGCAGCTCGCCGGCGCCGTCGCGGGCGAGTACGCGATGACGCTGTCGTCGCCGAACCTCAAGAGCTCGGCGCAGCGCCTGAGCCCCAACGCGACGACGCCCGGCGAGGTCCGCGCGCTGTCGCTCGACGGCGCGGCGAGCGCCGCGGAGCTCCCGCCGAGCCTCGCGGGCGGCGACGCCTACGACGCGTTCCCCGCCGCGCGGCCATGTTTTCGGGGTCGTCGCCGCCCGACCGTCGGCGCGCGCGCGCGCGCGCGGGGCCCGCGCGAACCGCCGGCCGGCGCCCGCGCAGGTCCTTTGCCGAGTACGCGACGGATCCCTACGCGGGCGAGGACGGCGGCGGCGGCGCGGCGCTGACGGCGCGCGTCGCGCGCTTTGGCCTCGCGCCGTCGTCCGCCGAGCCCGCGTCGCGGCGGCGCCGCGCGCGCCGCGAGCGGCGCCTCGAGGACGCCGGCGGCGCGGGCGGCAGCGGCGCGGGCCTCGCGTCCGTGGCGCTGACCATCGGCGGCGGCGTCGCGCGGAACGCGTCGCGGCCCCCGGGCGCGAACCTCACGTGCGCGTGCGGCTACGAGGGCAACGTGAGCTTCGCGTGCCCGGACAACGCGACGGTCGTCGAGGCGGCCTGCGACGGGCTGCCGAACGTCATCGAGGTTGTCTGCCCGGGCGTGGAGACGGCGTGCGCGGCCTGGAACGCGACGGCGGCCGCGTGGCGCTCGTCCTGCGAGGCCGTCGGCGGCGCCGACGGCGCGACGACGTGCGCGTGCGACGTCGACGCGTCCGGCGCCGCGGCGCCGACCGACTTCTCGACGGAGGACGAGGCCACGGACGCGGGGTCCGTCTACTTCAAGAACCTGACGGAGCCGCCGGACCTCAGCCGCGCGCTCATCATGATCTACGCGCTGCTCGCGCTGCTCGGCGCCTGCGTCGCCGCCCACGCGTACGGCCGGCGCCTGGACGCGCGCGATGCCGCGGCCGCGCGCGCGGCGTCGGCGGTCGCCGCGGCGTCGGACGCCGACGACGACCCCTACGAGGTCAACGACGACCACGACGTGCTGACGGCCGGCTGGAAGCAGAACTTCCTCACGGGGATGGACCTCGGGCACCCGTTCTACGGGTGGTACACGCTCTACTCGGCGTCCGTCCCCCGGCCGTTCCGGGCGTGGTGCTGCGGCTTCGAGATCCTCGTGTTCATGTACGCGCTCGCGTTCGAGACAAACCTGCTGTTCCCGGACGTCGAGGAGGAGTGCGCGGGGAAGCTCAACCCCGAGACGTGCGCGTCGCTCAAGACCGTGCTGCGCGGCAAGTTCAAAGGCACGCACGTCGAGTCAGCGCCGCTCTGCCAGTGGATACCGTGTGCGGAGGCTTGCGTCATGGAGGAGCCGGGCGAAGACGAGATGAGCCCCATGTCCGCCGCGCGGCGTCCCGAGCGCGGCCCCGCGCGCCGCGACGATGGCCGCGCGCGCAGGTACTACCTCATACTCGCCGGCATGTTCTTGGCTCTGCTGCGCGCGCGCCGCGTCGCGATCGCGCGGAGCGAAGCGCGCGTCCGATGATGCCTCCTCCCCCCGCAGGCCCGTCTGCAAGATCTTCGCGTACCTGGCGGAGAACTACCTCGTCGCGCCCGTGCCCCTGGCGCTGCGGTGGAGGCGAGGGTCGGCGTCGCCGGCGGGCGCGCCGGCCGCGCGCGCCGCGTCGAGCCCCGAGGACGAGCCGCCGATCCCGACGCTGAAGATCGACTGGCACGAGACGGGCGCGCCCGAGGCCTCGCCCGGGACCCTGGCGTCGAGCGCCGGGCCCGAGTTGGCGGTCGCGGGCGACGAGCTCCTCCGGAAGCTCCGGGCCGCCGTCGAGGAGCCGGGCGGCGCGGCGCCGGCCGCCGCCGGCGACCCCGCGGCGGACAAGGAGCCGCTGGAGATCAAGGAGATCAAGGAGCGGCCCGACGGGGGCGAGGCGCGGGCCCGCGTCGACGCGCTCCTCGCCGCGCGCGCCCGTGCCGAAATCAACCACCGGTCGGGTGCTTCCGACCAAACTTCGAACCTCTCGAGCTCGGTCAGATCGACGTCGATTCGACTGAATTTTGGACGCATCGATGGCTCTCATGCAGTTCTCGAAGCACGGCAGAAGAACCCGCGTCGAAACCGTCGATGACGCGCACGTTGAAGTCGGGTTTAATATTTCATTCCACACAGGCGCACGCGCTCCTCGAGGGCGGGCCGCCCGACGCGCGGGAGAGCCAGGCGCCGATCCCAGAGGGGGGCGCGGCGGACGGGGACGCGACCGGGTTTGCCGTGTCGTGTTCGGTCCAATGCGACGGCGCGGCGTGCGTCGCGCCCGCGGGCGCCGCGCCGCGTGCCTGAGCTCCACGCTGGACGACGCGTTCGCCGTGCCGTCGATGACCGCGGCGTGCCTCTTCGGCCTGGACCGGCTCGAGGACGAGGTCTCGCGCGCGAGGGTGGCCGAGGCGCGGCCCGCGGCGGCCAAGGAGGCCGCGCCCGTCGACGACGGCGACCTCGTCGTGCCCGAGATGGGCGAGTGGGTCGAGTCCCTCGTCGGCGACCTCGACGCCCGCCTCGAGCCCACCGACGTCGAGCCGCTTGCCTCGGGGCCCGGGCGAGGCGCGACGGCGTCGCCGCATTTGTCGCTCGCGTCGCTCGCGTCGCGCGGCATCTCGAGGGCGAAATTCGCCGCGCGGCGGGCCACGAGCCGCCGCACGCTCTGCAGCGACAGCTCCAAGACGACGGTGCGCGACTGCGCGGAGATGCTCGCGCCCACGCTCGCGCGCGCGGTCGTCGCGAGGAGCCGCGAGCTGCGGCGCGCGGCGGCCGCGGCGACGTCGAGGACGACCGCGCGGCGCCTCGGCGAGCTCGACGCCCACCTCCTCGAGCGCTGGGGCTTCAACGGGTCGCGCCAGGTCTTCATCGCCAACGTCGAGCGCGTCGTCGTGAAGCGGCTCGGCCGCGCGGCGCGCTGGCACGCGGAGCTCGAGGCGGCGGACGACGCGCGCGCCAAAGAGCGCGCGGCCGTCGCCTACCTCCGGGCGGAGATGCTCTCGAAGAAGGAGCGGACGGTCATGACGACCATCGCGGAGCGGCTCCAGGGCGAGCTCGAGGCGCCCGAGGAGCCGCCGGGGGCCGCGCCGTACATCGCCGCGTGGGCCGGCGTGCTCTGCGTCGTCCTCTACTGCTTCTACTACCTCCTCACGACGGGATCCCAGTTCGGGCGGAAGAAGACCCGGCTCTGGCTCGAGGCCGTGACGTTTTCCCTCGTGCTCTACTTCGTCTTCATCAAGCCCATCGTCGTCCTCCTCATCAGCGTCATCATGCCCAGCTTCGTGGCCTCCTCCGTCGACAAGGCCAGGAGCCCCCTCGACCACCCGCGCTACCCCTTCGAGACGCCGCTCCCCGAGAGCTCCGTCTTCTACCTCCTCCGCTGGCACCCCGAGCTCGCCGGCACGCGCCTCGCGGACCATGTCGCGGCCGAGGCGACCGGCGCGCCGCGGAGCGCGCGCGACGGCCTCACGGACGCGCGCGTCGCCGAGATCCACGGCGCGGCGATCCCCCGGACCAGCGGCACGGCCGTCGTCCTCGCCCTCATCGCGCTCCTCTTCGGGCTCCACGAGGACCTCCAGGACACGCTCATCGAGGAGGTCTTCACGTTCCTGCCGCTCGCCTCGGGCTTCGTCGCGGAGCGCACGCCCGGGCTCGAATCCGCCGGGGAGGACGTCGGCGCAGCCTTCGGTATGGTCGTCGTCGGCGCGCTCGTGTACGTCGCCTGGAAGGCGTACCACGCGTGCGGGAAGGCGACGGCGCGGGCCGCGGTGGCGCTCCCGCGCCGGAAAAGCGACGCGGGCGGGCCCGCGTTCCGATGGCCCGAGGACGAGGCGCCGGAAACCCCGAGGCCGGACGTCGCCGGCGAGGACGAGAAGTCGCCGGAGGACGCCGTCGCCCTCGTCCTCTTCGACGACGACGGCGGCGACGGCGATCGCGTCGAGGCCGTGCGCCCGGACGACGACGAAGCGGCGGCGGAGCGACCGGACGACGCGGCCTCCGACGGGGAGTGTCTCGACGAAGAGATCTTCCTCGATGCCGACGTCCAGCGGGCGGACGAGGCCGGCGCCGCGGACGCGGAGGCGCGCGGGGCCGAGGCGGCGGCGCGGGACGACCACGAGGCGGGGGACGCGGCGGCGGAGCGACGGGAGGACGCGGCCTCCGACCGCGAGTCCCTCGACGAAGACATCCTCCTCGACGTCGACGCTCGACGCGCGGATGGGGCCGGTGCCGCGGACGCGGAGGCGCGCGGGGCCGAGGACGCGGCCGTCGAGAGCGCGGGCGACGCCATCGAGAACGCCTTGCCGCCGCCGCCGCAGCCTGAGACGCTCTCGGACTACGTCTTCAGCGTGCAGGCGAAGCCGGAGGACGCGCCCGTGCCGTCCTACTCGGACGCCGCGTACGCCGCGGTCTTCGGTGCGGCCGCCGCGGCGCGGGACGACCACGACGCGGGGGACGCGGTGGCCGCCCGGCCCGGCGAGGCGCGCTCGCGCGCGCGCGGCCGGAGCGCGACCCAGGGCGAGGGCCGGAGCCGGAGTGGGAGCCGGTCGAAGAGCCGGAGTCGGAGCAGGAGCCGGAGGCCCGGCCGCCGCGTGATGCACCGCGCCCCGTACGTCGTCAAGGCTAAGGGCGCCGTCGTCCGCGCCGGCGTCGCGCTCGACAGCGACAAAGTCCTGAGTCTCCCCGCCGGCACCGCCGTCGTCGTCGAGGTCGCCGAGCAGCTCCCCGACAAGAAGACGCGGTACCTCCTCGTCGAGCCCGTCGTCGGCTGGGTGTCGCGCGGGGCGGTGGCCAAGGCCCGCTGATTCTGCGTTCTTTTTCTCCCGTATTCGCCCGTCCGTCTTGCGTCTTCATAATACTTGCAGAGCGACGACGTCGGGCCCGGTCCGGCGCCGCCGCACAACGACGAGCCCGCCCCCTGAGCCGCGGCGCTCGTCGTTCCGATGATTTTTGTTTCGATCCCTCGTTCCGATCCCGCCCCCCCTCGCCCGCCCCCCCTCGTTCCGATCCCGCCCCCCCTCGAGGATCACCTCGCTCGCGCTCCGCTCGACGTCGTTCGCTCCGCTCGACGTCGTCCGCGCTGCGATGCTATCTAACGAGAATCTTGCTCGTAGTTACGGGCATATTGTCCCCGTACGGCGTACCCCCTTTTGAAGCGGCCGTGTTGAGGTCCCCGTCGAAGTGCAAGGTTTGAGGTTGAAGTCCAAGTTGAAGTACCGTTCAACATATCCCGCCGGCGGGATATGCTAAGCCGCCCGGGCCGGCTCATTCCATTAAAACCTGGATAAGTCGCCCGGGTCGGCTCATTCCATTAAAACCTGGATATCCGGGCCTCGCGCTCCGCGAGCGCGAGCACCGCGTCCGCGTCCCTCCAGTGAGGCGCGGGGACTCCGTGGAGGAAATTCTGGTAGAGCACGACGCCCGCGCTCATGAAGGCGGGCACGTACGAAAAGCTGCTCTTCGCCGTGACCAGAACATCGGCCGAGACCATGTCCGCGATCGCCTGGAGCGGGTCGCCGTCGAGGTGCATCGTGGCCAGCTCCGGGAGCCGGCCGAAATCTTCGGGACGGCCCTCCGAGTAGACGTGGAACTCGAGGCGCAAGCCCCGGAAATACGTCGGGAGCGCGCGCGCCATTCGCTCGTACCACGCGTTGTCGGTGTACGGGGAATTGGCCCGGCCCCTCGGAGGCTCACGTCCCCTCG